TGGGTCAAACATCAGAATTATAATTGCAACATGATAGAGCAGCCATTATTGTACAGACACCAGCAGGTAAAGCTACTCCACTCTATAACTTTCTCATTTAATATTCGACTTTAAACGAAAAGTATAAAGTTGATAGTCAAATAGAGAAAATTGACAGAAAGGAAGAGGTTGACCTGTTGGTTGATGGCGGTGGTACAACTGGTAATGATGACGTAGAATACAATGATTATTGTCAGCACAATGCATAGGAAACGTATTTAGCTATTGTTGTAATATCGAAAGTAAATATTGAGTGATGTCATAATCGTGAGGTAATAGAGAACTGGGTTGATGTGGGTTTGGTTAAGAATGACAATCAATTTCATTTGAAGTTACAGCATCTTTGATAAAGAGCTCCCAATAAAAGCGAACTGGGGTATCTGCTGAAAGTCTTTCCTAAACATTTGTGTCTTTTCTTATTTCCGTTTTTATAACTCTGAGTCCTATAGAAATATTACAACAGCCAAAATCATTGTCGTGACCAGCTAATCCAATTATAATTTTATCCATCTTTTCATCAACATCAACAATTCTCAATTTTTTACCTTCATCCTCAACAGTTTCTTATTCAACAGCTTCTGTGATATTATAACTACCAAAAAACGCCATTTTGGTAGCAAAACGGTTGCAACACTGGCAATAAAAAATAAAAGTCGTGGTTAAGCACAACGGTAAGCTCCTAAGTTGTGTAATCCTATTGAACAGTTTATCGCCATGGTGAACTGATTTACCGTGGCTTCATCGTTTAGTCAGTGCGCGCTTCTGGATTGGTCAATTGAAATCAGACACCATTTTGTACTGAGTTAGAAATATGTTGCTTGAAACTAATATATTGTTATTGCTTGGTTAGCTGTTTAATGGATTGAAATAATCGGTTCTATTTTGTAATTGAAGAGAGAATGATGACAAGCGTCTTAATCAGAGTAAAGGTTACATTTGATCTATGATACATTCTCACTCATATTTCGAACCTCTGATTTTGTTTCGGAATTTCTTTTCATAGTTCAGTTAGGAATTGTCAGCCTCATCTAGTTCTTTAAAAATAAAAAAGGTACCTACTCCTTCGTAGACTATTTGGAAAATAAATACACTTGGTTTACTTGATAGGTACAAGTCTTACTAATAGGATTTTTACTTTCGTTTGATAATGTTTGTATCATTGACCCAGTTAGCTTAGTGATCTCAAGTGCTAATACTTAAACCTTAATTGTATGCCTAATACCCATAGTCTAGATGTGGAGGTTCGTCTTCGAGAGACTAACAGTATAGCAGATGAAATGTACGCGTGCTTATTCCGCCAAATGTTCTTCCAGTTGCAACTTTTAGTAAGTTTCTAATACTTATTAGTTTTATAATAATAACTAGCGAAAGTTACTTCTCGGCGGCTTCTTTATGTTAATAGTCTAGTAAAACTTTATTACTGATGGATAACGCCTTTCCATCAATAAATTGTCACTTAACATGTACATATTTATTTTGTCTATTAAATAAATTTATTTCGTAGCAACACTGCTTGGCCATAGATAGTAAATCCGTTTCTGTCATTACTATTTTGTTGTCAGCGAAAAAAAATGTAATCGATATATTTTTCGATAAATCTTGTACCAATGTTTAAAAAACGAATCTAACAAGGCAATGCGTTCTGTCCTTCATATCCCAGCACAGAAACAATTAGAAACAGATTAAGATCAGGAACTGACTTCTCGACTAACTACTTGATTATATCTTGATAGAAAACATATTTCGAAGTCACGACAAACGTTTTGTTACAACGCCAAAACAGTACTGTACTGTAATAAATCATAAGCAAGCCCTTGCTTAAATTCTTAATTGCCATATTGTACTTGAACGGTAACTAATAAACTACAAAATAGACTTTATTACTTCGGAATAAGACATTAATAGTGTCATGATTGCGAAACCCAACAAACAATTTGTAAATACATTTTATAACATCATCAACATGCATTCAATACACCAAGATACTACTAATCATTTCGACGTTTCAATGGACCAGAGATCAAACTGAACAAATCGGCATATCACGTTTTGAATCGCAACGAAAATGTCAAATGACATCGTTCACCTTGAGTTCGCCATAGTTGCATTTATTGTGACCACAGATAATTTAGAGCGTTTACGATCTGTCATTTTACAAATTGGCGGTAGCATTTTGAGCGCCCAATCAGGAGCCGTCATTTATATTCGCAAGTTTTAAATTACCAATGACTCTTTGCTTTTCGAAACAAATTATTATTATGTTATTGTTGACAAGTATACCTTAAATATACCATATATCTCTATTACATTTCGTAATACATCCACAGTGTTTAGTTGCATCATGAACTTAGAAAAAATAAAAAGTTACATACGCCCACATCTTTACGAGTTCCGTCGAAATTTCGATTGCGTGTGAAAATAAATGTAAAAAATATTATTATCATCACTTCATAGGTGGTTAATGAACATCCAAAATATATCTATTTTTGTGTGGGCGACAATGGCGTCGTATTGATAGTATTGATACATATTTAAGCAATAAAATATATAAGGGTACTAAAGTACACGCCATTCTTATTTCCACCTGTCTCGATCACCTTTTCCTTTCATTTTTGACCAAAAATACCGTTTTCTTATTTAAGAGTCTAAATGATATGAAGTTCGGAATACGATGGAGTAATAAAATGTGTCTTTCATATGCTGTTCACAAAACTGTTTTTATTGAAATGAGAATTTTTAAGTACAACATGAGAATTGCGTGGGTTCAGATAGGAACCAAAGAAGACGAAGTTCAAGAGGTTGGATAAGTCTTTCCCAAATATAGCCAGGTATATACAGATTCCTAAACAAACTGTGGCGACTATTCCTAGCATTAAGAGCATCATTTGAGTGCAACAACTTATCCAGTCTCAATTTGCAACAAAATTCAGTGAAATCATTACCTATCATCTAACAAGGAAGATTCTCAAACAAATTATGTCTGATTTGAATTAAGAACATCAACAGACATTCTAACAACTTTCCCAATCCGATTCCGTTTTCCCATGCAATCGGAATTGTAACGACTTCCAACGATCTCGATAAATTTGTAATTTGGTATGTAATGGTATCTATCTTGTAATTTAAATGAATGCAACGCTAGGGGAACCATGTAGCCATAATGGTACTATATAGCATTCATGGGTAATGCTTAATTTTCCTTTGAATGAGATGCATACGGCGTGTAATTTTTTCAAATTGAACTTTCTTACCCAATTCGGCGGTATTTTTAACCGATACGACCTTCAAAACCTTCAAGAAAAGAGCGTATTCCTTTTAAAAGGCCGACAATGCATCTGTGACTCCTCTGGTATTTCGGGTGTCCATGGACGGTGCAGATCGCTTACCATCAGGTGATACGTCAGCTCGTTTGCCTCCTATTCCATAAAAAAAAATCTAAAATGATACTACCGGATTTTTCATTCAACTGTGTTTGATTTCACATACTATTTTGTGCTGTACTGTTCAGCAGTTGCATCTTTTTTAAATAAAATTAATAACAGCATTAAAACATAGTATGTTAACTCCAAACACAATTCTTCAGCAACACTATTCATATTCATCTTCAGCTAAAAACATATTTTAATTCCGACTACTGCCGTTACATTACTTCAAAGTAAATCCTGATCTATATCATCACATATTAACAGCGCCATAAAATCCTTAAACCAGAATTCCTAGTACTCATTGTCCTATCTTTAGTCCTATCTTAATACTAAAATATGACTTACACCATTATCATCATCTAGGTCTTTACCTAAAGCTTTACATGGTATCTGACTAGTTTCTTTCATCAGATCCAATATATAGTACTTCATTTCAACTGCAACTAAGAAAATGTTGCCAGTTGTAGCGTCAATATTTTGTGATGTCATTTTACAACTTAACACTTCAAAGTCTGGTTTGATGTGATCTTAGAAGAGTACTAGTATTGGTTATTCTGATAGTAAAGTGTCAGTTATTTTTTTCAAGTTGACTCAGAACTTCTTTATGTTTTTTGTCTTACACAATATGCGACGTAACGCTGATACCAGGTTTAATTTTAATAGAATTAATAACATCAAATCGGTCATGACAAGCATATCTTTCGATTTCACGCGTCTTAAGTTCACAAGTCGGTAACAAGACGAGTTATGTTTTTTTTAATTTTCAAAATATTTAAACAGGAAAATGTTTTAGTACTCGATGGAAATTCCATGTTTCAAAGATATATCCATTGTTGAATAAACACCGTAATATTAGCCGTCATACTCAGAGCCACAGCCAGAGCACGTTCGGCCTTTGTTCGATTTTCAAATTTATTTTTTTCACACTAAACTGCTTTGAGTTATTGTGTCAACAGCCATTGTTAATTTTGATTGGTCGGTCTTCGTAACACCGTGATCTTTTATTGTGTAAACTTTATACCTTTTTTTCTTCTTTTTATAAAAGTTAGGGCCGGCTTCTTTCAAGTCTTATTTCTGTGTTACGCAACCAATTCTTGTATCGGAAACTATGATCTTGTTTATTACGAGATCCGCATTCTTATTTTGATGAGTATCGATAACATTGTGTTTGTTAGGCTCTTATGTTTAGTTATTTGCTTCTAAAATATGTGTAGTAGGTATCATCATTAATGATCTTTATTTCGAAACCGGTGATCACAAAAATCGAAGGTGCATAAGGTGTATGAAGAAAATATAGGACCTATTTCAAATAATTCCCTTATTCACTAAAATACCAGATTCTAAATCGTATTTCAAATTTCAAATCAAGCCCTGTGATTGGTTGTCTTTATTTTATTTAACCAACCAGACTCTTTTGACAAATTCAAATTCTTTCAAATTTAAATTCTTTATTGCGTTCCACAATGTGACAAATTCGTTTCGGAAACCCTTTGTATTGTATTTTTCTTTATACCTTCATATTTTGTTCTTACACAGGTATTGCAACGCGACGTGGAATGCCACGGTCGGATCGTGAGTTCGGTGGTACGGCTGTGCGGCGGTGGAGACGCTGCGCGAGCGCTTGAGAGACGGTGGCACCTGCTGTACCTGAGAGCTATAGAGTGGCAGTGCCATCTGGAAGCTTGTCTTGCTAGGATCGATAATCAGGTATGGAGACATTTTCATTCTTAATAAATATTAGTGTGTGTGGGTGTGTGTGTGTGTGTGCGTGTGTGTGTGTATGTTATGGCCAGAGGTCTTCTCACTCTTAAACTGGCCAATCCGTAAGCAAGTACCAATCTTGAGTAAAATTGAAACTTATCAGAGAAATGTAGATATTGTTAATCCTTACTTATCATGACTATGTAGAAGTTATCTACTGTAAGTATACCTAAAATGCATTGTGTTGTAGAATTCCTATAGCTGCTATAAAAAAACCTAGGAACATGGTTAAAGAAATTACCTCTCAGCAAATATAAAACAGTATTGTTGTTTAAACTGCCTATAATGTTAAGAAATATCTACTAAAATCACTCCAACTCCCAGCATCGAAAAATCACACGTAACCAAAAAATACAAACGATGCATTTAACGCATATCCCCTTTCTCCAAAAAAGACCATGCAGCCATTGATAGTGGTTTGCAATTTCTCACCAACACAAACACAATGGACCAATCAACCACCCGGCGCTGTTTGCAAACACTAGAGACCCCAAGCTGTGTAGAAAATTGATTCATTGATTCATCCCTAACTATTTTGAAGTAATTGACCGAAATGGCGATAGGGTGACGATCAATGTCAAAAACTTTTATTGGGAGACATAAATTTGTAGATGGTTATTTTTAGTGTGTGGGTTTTTGAGATTTTTATGCGAAATCCTTGAAATAATAATTACCACAGTATTCACCACAATAACTTAGTCCGTATGTACACAAAGCACCGCTAATTAGTTGCAGCGCTACACATCGACACAACTGTCATTTACACAGTGTACATGTGTGCGTAATTTCATATAACTGTATATAAAAATATTCGTCCACCACGTTCACATTGGTATTTTCATTCTTGTGTCGGTATACGTATTTTTATAATTTAATGCATAGGTAAGGTTAAAACTATTTACAATCATTGATATGACCCGACATTTTCACTGTCATTATCGTAGTGCTCGTGGTCGATTGGTTAATGAGCACGCTTTTATCGTCTTTCAAGGATCAATGATGTGGGTTCTATTCCAGCTAAAAGTTAATTTTATTTTATCTTGTTATTTTTCTTATTTTTTTTTTGTTTTTTGTCATAAAATATAAATATCAGGCTATAAAAGAAGCAAATGAGTTGGTAAATAAAACAATACTATTTTTTATTACAATTAATTTATTTATTATACAAATATGTTGTTTTATATTCAATATTTATATCTAATAATTAATTATATACCACATGTTAAGTTTAAAGTTCTTTAAATCATAATTAATAGATATGACAATAAACCTCATAGTCGAATCGGGAAATATCATGCGGTACAGCGGTAATACGATGGCAGCAACATTTTTTATTAAGTAGGTAATAAACAAATATACAACATTCTTGTTTTGTAATTTAATAATATAATGTATTATTAAATTACAGTTTTACAGTAATAAACAAGTAAAACATGTAAAAAATTACACTGTCAACATAATATTTCTTGAAATGGGCGACTTTTTTCGTTTGAACTTCCATTAATTATCTATTTTACGACGGTTGTTATAAGGTTCAATATTCAGTGGGCTGTATGATAGTAAAAAGAATGTGACGAATGCTATGGAACGATTTTAACTTTCATGACCTTTAGAATCAGGGAAACTTTAAATTAATTGAAGATGGGCGTAAATATAATATGTCAATCAAGTTCGAAAGCAGTTAAATAAATTTGTTAATGAAAAATTAAAGTGAAGTGAATAAACATGTTGAATAGAAAGAAATTATGACAATTTCTAACCACAAAACAATAACATCACTTCACCGTATGTTCTAGACAGCATTTTAATATTCTTAAAAAAATTAAACATTATTTTATGTTAATTTTAATAAAGGCAGAGTTTGACAGGCTCAATAATTGATTCCGAAATCAATACAATCACTGATCCTACAAGGCAGAAGGTTGCAATTCGTATACCTTTCTCCATCTTTTCTTCACAATATTTTACGCCCATCCTTATCCGACTTGAAAGTCTTTTCGTCGCTCAATATGATTACACTGTTCGCCCAATCAAAATTAATAAAGTCCTTAGCAAATTCTTAGCGCTTTTGCTGGTGAACCACAGATAACAATATTTTTCTTCTCTGGCTTCCTGCACCTTAAACCAGAATGCAGGTGTCTCCGTACAGTTTGTATTAAAACATTCAGTGCTGTCGCTGTAGTGCGGGTTGGCAGGAACGGATCAGCCATGTGCCTGGCTACGATGTCGTAGTGCCGAGCCGATGAATTTGCCTTTGGTTTAGGCCCACGTCGACGATGTTTAACGTCACCGGTCTCCGCATATCTGTGCACCCATAACTGCATGGATCTCCTCTGTTGATACCAAACAAATAAGTATTTAAAATACCAGGAAATACTTTACAGGAATTAAAGTTACTTAAAAATAATAATAAATATAAGTAAACACAATGTTAGAATAATAATTTATAATTAAGTAGTGGCGTAAGGAATAAAAATCCCTAACCAGATATGTTTTAAAGAAACACTCCTAACAAAAACAAGTCAAGTTACAATACAATTAATAATAAATTATTAATATATCTTTATAATATTGAACTTCATAATAAGTTGCAATAATTATTTTATTCTAGTGCAAAAATTGATAGTGTCGAGTTACAAAATGAAATAAATATTATTTAGAATATCAACGTAGTATCTTATTTACTCACCGATATCATTAAACGCCTTGCTATTTCAGTTATTGTTAGTTATGTTTTGCTCATGCAAAACAATGGTTTCAGCCTTTTTAAATGTTGATAGGTGTTGGAACATCTTGTAAAAATAAATAACTTTGCACACGAATATAAGTAGTGTAGCAATAAACTATGAAATCCTCATTAATTGACAACTAAGAACGCAATTATTTTGTAAGTCGGGTGATTTGAAAAACATGTTTTAAATAGTCGGTAGTTACTTCATAAGCGTGTAAAATAAAATGACTCGAGATTTCTATGGTCGCCACAAACATTGCAAATATACTCAGGTATCGAACCATTAAGAAATCACAGTTAATTACTTTTTTACTGTTTTATCTTATTTAAGTTGGTTGAAATGCATGAAGCAAATGAGATTATTCTAAATAATAAATAACTAGAACTAAAATATAAATAAAAGATATTATAGGTATAAATAAATCTAAAGTATTTACTATTAAAATTAACATAAGATTTAGAACAATAGGAAAGGAAAAAAAAAGAAAAGATTTAATTGTTTCTAATTTCAAATTTCAAATATTTGATAAATTAATTCTAAAACAACATGTGAATGTTGGAATCGATCCGGCGGCACTTTACTTGACAATTGGAGGCGATAACCATTGCGCCAAGCGCGCTGTAGATGAGATCATCGAAATATTTTATATCATTCAGTAACATAAAATTACAATGAGAAAGCACTATATTTATATGGGTATTGTATAGCTCGATCGTTCATTATTTTTGATTTCGATTTATTCAAAGTTTGTTATGAGTAATTTTATCTTTACCCTCGTTTTTATTTAAACTTATTTACTAAATTATTGCGTATACCGACACAAAAATGATTTTTAAATACCAAGATGTGTGTGATAGACGAATGTTTCTATACATATCTATTGATATGAAATTACCCACACATGTATATTGTGTAAATGATAGTTGTGTCGATGTGTAGCGCCGCTAACTAATTAGCGGTGCTTTGTGTACTATTATCAGTTCAGAATTGCCGATAATATTTCAACATTGTTATTCATATAAGTGACTGGATATTTTGCAATACTCACACGTACTCAATGCTAAAGGTTTTTCGTTGACAATTAACTAAATGTTAATTATTAACTTTATAGAGACTAACATAAATTATTTCATCTTAACCTATGGTTAAAATGTAGCAAACGTGGCTTGACATTTCAACACTGATGAAAATAACATGACATTTATTAATCAAACAATACTTAGGATAAAACAGTACTTTATGTTCAAAACAATAGTACAATTTAAACCCACACAAACATTAAAGGGTTAGTAAACACGTGGCCTTTCTCCACAAATAAATAATTCCACTCATGCTTTGTTATGATTTCTCGTTGCTAAGCAACCGATGACCCATTTAATAGTTCGCATAGGGATAGTTTAGACCATAACGGCTCATTTAAGGGTTAATATCAACCGTTTTGTGGCCGCTTATGAATACGAAGGGATCTAAAAATGACTTTTATTGGTCATAAATAAATTTTAAATGGATTTGGTTGGATATCGTACGAATGGGAGTTGTAAATATTAAATGAGTTTTATGCGTGGTTTCAGTATGTGCTTAAGTATGAGCGTGTGATCGCTATTGGAGTGTTATGCCTTTTGGGAGCAAGTTTTTAGGACTTTGAACTTTAGTTAGAAACGAATAAAGTTGTTATCAGTATGATTATTCGTAGCGAATGGTCTTGTTAATGAGTTTCTAGTTATTCGCTTCTTCTGTCTATCACAAATGGAGTAAATATACTTTATACTTTGATTATTCTGCATAGAAGTCAGTCTTATTTTAATCACCAATAACTACATCCAGTTTGACGACAATTTATCCTCCATATCTGTAATATCGAAATTGTACCAAAAAATAATATACATGATAATAACACTTCTAAACTCGCGTATGTAGTTAAATACAGAAAAACACATGTAAATTCTAATAATTTACAGCCTTAACTAATTCACCATCTCCTTCTATTCCAGGGCTGCATATCAGCAGAGGCTGCAAGTGACAGTGACGACGAACCTGCCTTAAAGCAGCCGCGCCTGAGCAGGCGAGGGTCTCCACGCAGACAGAGAACTCCAGTCAATGCGAGACGAAGGGACAGCTCGCTGGACAGCAGACAATCTGCGTCAGAGGTGAGTTCAGAGATAATAAATAAATAATGGTATAACATAACATAACATCACGCCTTTTATCCCCGAAGGGGTTGGCAGAGGTGCACATTATGCCACTGTACAATGTAACACCCACTTTTCACTATTTATGTTATGAGTCCCATGTAATAGGGGGTGAGCCTATTGCCATATACCGGGCACAATTCCAGACTCCGTGCTACTACTGAGAATTTTTTAAAAACTTAATTTTTAATTACTAAAAAAAATAAAAATAATGATATTTATGTTAAACGGTTTTAATGAACTCTATTCTACCAAAAATCTTGACGGTTGATATCCATAATGGAGATAGTTGCGGAAAAATATGATTATAATATGGTTTGGTCATCTAGATTAAGAGTGTGTACTAAATATCACATTGATCTGTCACGAGGAAAAGGTTGTAATTGCAATTACTAACTTTAATGCAAACAAATAAACCAACGGGCTTAGTTAAAAAAAATAAACGTTTAAAATGATAGAAAGAGTAAAAAAATACCACGACGAAATAGAAAGAGGCAGACAAAAAGGATTTATCCTTTTGTCTTTGCAACTTACGTTCATAGTAACTTTAAAGTTACTTGAAGCGTCATATTGTAAACACCGGGTAGTCAGGCGTTGGCAGCCTCTGGGAAAGGGATTGTCCCTTCGGTAGCTTTATGCACTCTCACAATATACAGCGCGAGCTTTGTTTCACGTCACAATTTTTTCATAGAGGAGTCATCACACTTATTTATTTATTATTATTAACTATTTAATGCACACAAAAATAAGGTACATAAGGCGGACTTAATCCCATGTGGCATTTTCTCCTTTTCAGTCCCCTTTGAAACTCAGAAGCTGTATGTATTTTGTAGGATATTAAACGAATTGTCTTCAAACAAATCTTATAAATCCTTTCTCTTCTTTGCAGGAGGAACAAGAATATGTGTTAAAGTACACGTGGCGCGGCTTTGGGTCGGACTGTGAGTCGGAGTTAGACAGAGCGAGGTACATAAATATGGCGGACGAGAGACGAGTACCTGGTGCCTGTGACGTCACTGCGAGGACCACGGACCAGACTGTGCCTGCGACAGATCATGTGGATGGTAAGATTCCTGACCTTTTTGCTAGAAGTAGTTATTTGAAGTTGAGATGATGTGGATTTTAAAGCTTCTGAATATGAACACAAACGACACTACTATTAGTTTGCTTGCAATTGAATAAGTGTAGGAAGTCACAGATAATAATAAAAACAATCACTCATGAATAGAGTATAACATCAATGAACAACGCTTGTCATTTTCACTCAAATAATAAAATAATAGCATTGTACTTATTGTTTTAAATGCACAATAATTTATAAACAAACAGATGACGGCATTAACTTTCAAAGCTAAAGCAGTAGCGTCTTCCACAGGATTGGAAACACACGTCCATATAGAAGATAAATTAAAGACACCTCCAACGGTAATTAAAAGGAAAAAGCCAGTAGACACGTCGAAATTTAATCAAACCGATCGCAAATCGAAACATCTTGCTACATTCTACTTTAGACATCATGATACAGACTCCGACAGACAAATGATCGAAACAGAAAAGTCACAGGAAGAATCTAGCGAGGAAGAATGGACTTACGTCGGTGGTGCTAAAATTGGGAATGAAGATTCCACTGATATAATGACGTCATCCGTTGAGATCCAGTGCGAACTACCCTTAGATGAAAAAAAAGATAAGCCACCCTCTCCGAAACCGAAGCTAGAGTCCTCGACACCAGATTTGCTTAGAGTAGAAAGGTGTAAAGACATAGAGAGGTTGGTCAATCAGGCTGAAGAATTGGTGCAGAAACAGGCGCTGTCAAAGAAGAAGGGATCGAGGAGCTTCAAGCCGCTGTCGTTTGATGAAGAGGGGAAGAATGTGAGCAGGAACAAGATGTCGAGGATCAAGGAATGGTTGAACCAGAGCTCGGAAGGCAAGAGTGATACCAATCAGGTTAGTTTTGAACTTAAAATAAACAACAACATAGACAGTTTAGCCATCTCTTAACTAAGGGTTATTTAGCGTGAGGGATCACCTATGTAAATCAACCCTTTATGTATCCCTTATAAGATCGAAACTAGAACTCGATAGAAACTATCCAAACGATCTCATAGATCCATGCTACTTTGAACACGAGATCTAATCAATTTTGATCTAGAAATTGGCCGTTTCTTTCGCATGCATTTTTCAATATATTGTTTGTGTTTTATTCCAGGGTACAGAAAGCTATGACGCCTCAGGAGAATACACAACTGAAAGTGAAGTGGACACCTCGTTGACATCCGAAGAACGAAACATTCACTCCTCCATGGATATGAGCACTTCTACCTGCACTGTAACTCCCACACACCACGCCAAGGTAAAATAAACTTTACTAGCGATAAATAAACACTAAAATCATAAACGCTTTATGTGTGTATGTCACTAATTTACTCTCAACTAAATGATATATAAGTGCTAACTATAAAACCAGTAAATAACTTTAAATAAAGTAAATTATAATTTTTAACCTTGACGTCTTCACCAGAAGGTTCATTATATTATTACTATTGTCTCTTATACTGTGATTGACCCACATTATTGACTAACTCTAAGCACATTGTACATAACAAAATGGTTGAGGCATACTCTCGCTTTAGGTAACACTCCGTAAGAAGCGAGCTGGCAACAGCGCACGGCCGTGGTCTGTCTCCTGCCTATCGCAACTCAGCGGCGCCGGCGCATCGCTGGTGGCCACGCCCACAGCAGGCGACGTTGCTGCTATGTCACACAACATGTCTATCTCTGAATCTGCTTTGAACACACTCGCGTCTCCACAAAGAGTTACTCCAGCAAATTCGAACTCCAAACTCCGTGGAAGTTCAACCACTGTACAGGTATTGGCTTATTTACGTGACATTAAAATGTTAATCACAGGAGCTGCATTTTTCAGTATTTATGTCACCTTTTCTGCAGCACTTCTTTAAGAGACTAGACAATTATTAAACATTATTAAGATACGCTAAGCTACGTACGATAAATATGTATGTTGAATTGTAAATACCAATTTTTACCAAACAATATTAGCCACGAGTAAGTCAAGGTGATCTATCAAATTTAGAACCTCGAATTAAATTCACCCCTTTCCCCACACAGGGCCACGTATCAAGCACGAACACGATGACAGAAGCTTGCACCTCCTGCGTGGAAGCGAGCGACAAACACGGCTGGCTACGACGAAAGAGGTTGAAGTTCCGACGCAACAACACCGCGGTACGGCGGGGAGAGAGACTCGTCAAGTCACTCTCTTTCTGTGGGAGACTGAGCCCTGAGATAGAAGATAAGCATGAGAGGAGTGCCGCCAGTGACCCCGCTACTAGCAGGAAGAGCAGGTTTGTACATAAGTTTATCACTGGCTCTTTTGGCATACCTATATTATTGGAAACAAGTATAACAATTCACACATAGGACCCACTTAGATTTTAGTCAAATTTCTGTTATGCTTGGCGACTGGGCTTCACCCAGTTGTACAGTCTCTTTTTTGTGCCTTAAGGCTTAATTCATTATGTCTCCTGCAGTAATTCACCGAGAAAAGTGGAAACTATCGTTTTTTTTTTTTGTTCTCCTCTTATAATATCTTCTGATTCACTTCGTAGCGGGAACCAAGACAGTTATTCGTGTCCCTGGGACGCGCCGGACTTCAGTGTTCCGGTGTTTTCGTGGTTGTATCTACTGTAGATCCTGGCTTATCTTTAACTGTATTATTTCTCATCAGGTTCGACACAACATCGACATCAGGCAACGACAGCGACGAGGAACTGATCAAACAACAGCTAGCCACAATCGCCCACCTGCGCAAGAGCATCGAAAAGACCCACATCTCGACTAGGGAACCCGATAGTGCCATTCCAGAACAAAATGAGGCCGAGCCTGTGGCCCCGAGCTTTAAACTGGGCCCAGCTGGAGGACCCGTCAGGCCACGACTCGCTCGAAGCCTTGAGAGGGAGAGGAACTTTATAGCCCTCAGTTTAGGAGACCCCAGTCGGTTGTGGGACTTATCTATTGACAAGGACTCCGATATAGACAAAAGTGTGACTGCTGGAACCGAAGAACATAGCTCATTCTCTGAACAGGCGTGGGATTTCTATCAGGTTTGTAATTAGATTCATTGAAGTTACTTTTTTGGATTCACAATGAACTGACATAATTGAAAGAGTTTAACATTTTTGTTTATTTTTTACAGGAAAAGTACAACTCGGAACCATATTCAGAAGCTCCAGACTCAGACGCAGCGCGACGTCTGCTAGAGTTCGGTGACGACTACCGCGCCTTCCTCGACTCACAGTCTGACTGCTGCTCCAGCTTGTCCGCGCAGCCCGAGAACGACCAGAGCCCCAGTGGCACACGTCGCCGCCGCCCTCCGTCCGATGTATCTAGAGAACGAAGCCTCCCACGACACAAGCGACCTACCAGAAACTCGCCAATAGAAACGCCCTCGAGAAAACCTAAGAAGTCCATGTCTAGCGCTGAGCGTAAGAAGTCGCTCCTTGATAGTCTCGAGCGATCCAGAAACAACACTAGCATCGAAAGCAGTGAAGGTGTCCGTCGTCGCAAACCTTCGGAGAACGAACGCAAAAACAGTAAGCGATCTCCCGAATTCGACTTGCTCAACGTACAGGCTCTGAGCCGCAGACGACACAGCTCAAACATGACCAGCGACGAGGTGAACAGCTCGCTAGAGTACACCGAGGTGAACAACCGACCTGATATACTGGACTCGCTGGGCAGGCGGAGGAGGACAGACAATGGCGAGTCGGAATTACAGAAGATCGCGTTGTCTGAGCTGCGGCGGCGATCAACAGAGAGCGTGGAGTCGGAGGACGAGTCGTCGAGCCCCACGAAGCACAGGCGGCGCAGCTGGGACTCGGGCTCGGAGGGCGAGGCGGCGCGCGCGCTGGTGCGGCGCTCGGGCGCGGCGCTGGGCGCGGCCGAGGCGCTGCTGGCGCGCCACGACGCCGAGCCCGACCTGCTGCGCGCCTTCGACTACGTAAGGACACAATTCGATACCGATTTCAGTAGTAGCTATTCGGACAGCGACGACAACGCGTCGTGCGTCACGCGCCGCCCCGCATGCTTGCGCGCGCGGCTCTGCCTGGCCGTCGCCGCCTTCTCCGTCCTAGTTATAGTTTACATACATCTCCAATGACATATGGCTTGGGCTTGTGTGATATTTATCATTATTTATGTAAGTATTCGTATTAGGTTCGCTGCGATCGTCAGACGCGAAAGATACGTAGTCGTGCCTATAGATACGCATTGACAACGAACTCATTTTTATAGTTATTTATAGGAAATGTTACGTTTGTTCTGATAGTCAATTGTCAGCTTGTTTTAGCTGCATTTTACAAATGCATGTAAAAATGTAAGCAGATATGCATAGGTAGGTAACTACGATCTCTTATAGACATTCCAATATATGACGTGAGTACTTATAGTGTGAATAGTTGTAATTAAAGTTAATGTACAAACTGCAGCATTTATAGTTTATAATCTATAAATGCTAGTGAATACGTAAGTCTGACCATCGCAGTATACATATGGATATATTACTTACTAACTTATTAATTTATTTCATCAATATTGTGACAGTTTCACAAAATATTAAGTGGTTTACATATTTTTGCTCAGAATTATTTTATACTAGAATGTGATCAGTATTTTTGGCTTTAGTACACGAGTGAAACTATCATGATGTGATCCTATTATTACATATACATAAATTAATTCATTTCCATTAAATGTTTGAGTTTTTCTTTCTACTAACATCGTTTGTTGTGTGATTGTGATTTGTGTAGTTTTTACTAACTGCCTGATTTTTTCTTTTTTTAATCATCCTCATCGTTTTGGTGGTGATAACATGGTGCTAGGCCAAGTCAGCGAATTAGGGAAAGCGTTACATTTATTGAATAATTAGTGTATAAGTTAGGTGCTGAGGTAATGAACGCTTGGGTTTAAAATCATTCGCAATCATTTAGCTTAACGTCTGAAAAACTTGAAATGTCAAATTGACAGATGTCACATTTGACGTTTTCGAGTCAGTTCGGAAATTGGGATCATTTTAAATCGCTCAAATATTGATTAATTTATTATTTAATTTACTAGACTTGGTGCATCGTTATTGAATAACGTGAATTCTTGTCATTGAGTGATATAATTTTACGTACTTAACGATAATGTTACTTTGTCAATATTCTACTTAATCTTTGGTTGTATTTTTGTATCAATATTACGTTTAAACTTGGCATAATATTAATATTTTTCTTTGTAATTGTGATTTGACTGAACTCCTACATCTCACGTAATAGTTGTACATGTATTAATATTATGTTGAATAGGGATAGGTTGTTAATTGATCTTATTTTTACAAAATGTTAAAGAACCAAGTGATCTTTGTATAAATGGTTGAAAAATAAATGCAAAATTTTAAAAATTCAATTTGGAGTTTCAGTCAATTAACACCCTACTCTAAATACTACACAACAGACAGATATACATGATCTAAGTCAGCACATATAGATAAAGTTTCAAAATTCTTCCCTTACCATTGCAGTGGGCCTTTTCTGCTTTTCTAATATGTTTGGCGTTTAGTTTGTGATAGCTTGGGTATTTTGTTTGCAAAAAATAAATTCAAAACTGTTAAATAAAACCAATGATGCTGCATGTTTTTTTTTTCTCTCACACACACAATGTAAAAATAAATTTAATTGAACGGTGTTGTCAGTTGTCAAAAACGAAGAATGTGATGGATAATAATAAAGTGAGTTAGTTGTAATTTAATAACTTAAGTTTGTGTAATATATGTTAACACTTGAATATATAACTTAAATGTTTATTTTTGAGTTTTGTTTTTCGTTTTTGCAAACTTTATTTTTTTGGTTGCACAGACGGAGATCGTCAATCGTTGCCGGGAAAATATCAACCTATTAGACGCGGCCTTGGCAAGCGGCTCACTTTCTTCCACTTTGCAACGTGACGTTAGAGGTTAGTACAAAACACAAATTGAACACCAAAGTCTAAGAAACTTGCTAAAAATTACATTCAAAAATCTTTTTACGTCAAAGTTTGCACAAAATGTTACAAACAAGCCGCAAAAATCACTCAAGTTGACAGCTCTAACCACATAAGAGTTAATTTAAAAAAAGAACATGACAAGACAATGCAATTGCATTATGAACGCAACTGCAGGCATGAATATCTTGTTCCATGCAAAACTTCTGACGGTTGGTGGTCATACACCGCAGTTACTCATGTTACGACCGGTTTCCGAACGAACTCCCGCCGATTATTGTCCAATCTCGGTCGCGATTAAGGCCCGACGCCATATTTGGACTTTCAGACGACGTCTTTGCTTTTTCTTTTTTTTTACTTGTAACTTGAGAGAGGTTAAATTATACCAAAAGCTGGTCTGGTTTGCAAATTGTGTTATACAGAAACCGTTTTGTTAAGGTATCGATGCTGTGTAAAAGTAATCAGGTTTGGTTTTATATTACACGTACTTTCTTACTACCTATATTATATTTTTACAATACAGTGAACAGAATCTGAAATATCTTTCAAAGGAATGTCAACAATTCATAAACGAGTACGAACTTAGCAAAGAATTAACTTCGATTCAATCCTGCATTGAATGTCAATGTCAATGGTTGACGTTTTTGAAAACGTTTAGTAATCGACCAGCTGTCAACGGCCTAAGCTTTTATGAAATATAATGTTCATAGGATATTCTTGTGCCTAATCACCATGAGATGAGTACAAACAGCTTAATTCCACACCTTTCTGGACTGTGACCACAATTTACTCACTTTAAACATCTCCTTTGAAGTACAAACTTGCAAATAGTAGTTACAAATGTGGAGGCGTTTATGGTCTAAAATAGGGTTGATCCTAACTTTATTATATTGTTAATAAAAAAATGCATTAAATTTAAACCGTCAATAATATCTGATTGTTTTCTTTAATTAAGTTTCTTTAAAGTAAATGACATCATCTTTCATGTTGTCTTATTTTACAGCATCACCAAATTATTACTCATACTAACCCTATACAATGTCCAAAACACTTAAAAAAATTAACACTTCTGTAAGTACTGCAATCGTAAAGGGAAGGACTCTCTTTCCTTTTACAGAAGAAAAAAGTGTTCGTCATAATATCTATTACCGTGACAACCCTGAATCCCGGAAACGGCGACACGCCGGCCGATCATACGCGCATTCGTTCGTCTCCATCTATTTCTGCCTACGAAAGCGGAACGGTCTCGCTAACTATGAAAGTGTGGACACTCTTACCTTTTTTTGCGAGACCCGTATGTGCTTTGACGAACAAAGTCACTTATTTGATTCGCTGTTGAGTTTTAAAAATAGTTTCTGATCTCACCAATAGATGGGGTTGTTTTACAATTGTAGATTGCATTCTATTACTACTAGGGACTTCAAATGTAAAAAGTGACAAGTAAGCATGTACTTTAAAGTGTATCCTTAAATAACCATTTAAAAAAAACCTCAGATCTTGTCTTGAAGCACTTAGTTTGAAGGCCCCATTTAAAAAGTTTATTTGTAGATAAAATCTTAAGTAAACGCTTTATAAACGTGTGTACAATATTATCTAAAAATACAACATGAACGAGTTACCCCTGCGTTCATTTTGTTTTCTTTTTAACAAATGTATGTCCCAAAATAAATATTATTTTAGTCCACTACGTGGGCAGAGCAGGGGATTCTGAACCTTATGTCTATGCCGTGATAATTAAAGTTTCAAGAACTGTATAAGTCATGTGTAACCCCAAAATCTACATTGCGACACCTGTATGCAAACTTTGCAGTTGGCAGACTGTGTGTAGACTAGATAATGCATTTATTAGCATAATACTGTGTACCTAGTTCTGCAACTAATGTGGTAACTTTTACAAATAGAACTAATAGTACTGTAAAGCATTTAGACTTTGAAGTAGACACCTCTGTCATTACGTAAAAAAATGATGTTGAAACCTCCTTTCTATAAGGCTTTACTATCCATATTTAAAACAGAATAGTTTGTAAAACAATGACTGGCTATTAACAATAACAGCTAGAACATATCTATGAAAATTTTAATTTATAACTAGACTGTACCTGATTAAAACAAAAATATCGACCAAGACTTCTTTTAACCGATTTCATGTTTATCTTACCAAATCTAGATTTGTAATTAAGTACACAATGATGTCAAATGACGAAAAAACATTACAAAATAGGTATGAAACATTAGATTTGATGGGAACAATCATCATTTTATATCCTGTCTATGTACACAGCTAAGCATTTTGATTGGTGACATCATAATGTATGTCAATAGTAAAATAAATAACCATTTTGAAGAAGTAACTTAAAGCCTTAGTTAGAATCAGTCGCGAATTGTTTTTTGACGAATAAGCTTGTGTTAGGACAAGGAAAAACAAATATGGTGGTTAGCACAAAATTATTAGTTACCGTTCATGAGTTAAAAAAGCGTTGTGTGCTTCGAAAAAGTGAGTTTATTGGATATATTATTGCTACTAATATTTTTTATAAATTACTATTGTGATTTTGGTTAGATGACGATAAAAAGAGGAAATTAATCCTTGGTTGAATATCAGTGCTGTCTCTCGATCATTAAAATATATCAACAGTTTATTGTACATTCTAAATTTTTGATTGAGATCAACGCTTGCCCTTGATCACACCACACCGCCCTGTGTGGATCCCTTACATAAAACAAAACATCCTCTTTTTCTTCCTGCGCTTATCCCAAGTTTCCTGTGGTCAGAAGAATATTTACAACTTCATCCATTCTCTCTTACGAAGCTCTCTACCTGAACAAATTATAATTAAAATGAAACCTCATTGATTAAACTAAAATATTTTACTTACTCTAACAGTTATTGGACTATTCATCTTCTCCCTTTTATTTGTCTAGTAATGGCTAAATCCATCCACAACTATACTATATGTGTCTCGGTAAATGGTTCACTGAATGGCCCCGGCATGTAAATATTCTTGGAGCCTCAGATCTTCAGGGTAATAGAGCATGACAGAAACATTAAGCACTTTGATGTTATGACAACTTCACGGCCATTATATAACAGGAAAAAGGAATTAAAATATTGTCTACTAATAGGTGTTTGTGGATTTG